CCTACTCTGCTGGTCACCAACGCAAAGCGCACATCGAGCGTCTCCCCTTGGCCATTGCTGTTCTGACAGCTCTTTTTGCCAACCTCTCTTAGGGTAGGCTTTCATTTAGAACAACATTGAACTCTGTTCAGAGAATCGTTCCGGCAAATTTGGGAGACGGGATTGAGCCACTTCGACCTGGTATCCTTCCCTTGTCAGTCCAGCGCGCAGCCGCGCAGTGATACGCTTCACTGTGCCTCAACTCTATTCCTCGCTCTCTTGTTGCGTGATGCAGACATTTGGTTTTACGCCACTGCAGTATAAAAGGGTAAAGGATAAAGCATTCGTCGTTTATCAATCCCTTTTGGGGTTGCGGCATTCCTTTTTGGGGTGCGGCATTTCCATTCTTCTTTCATTTGTACATTTATAGTGGCGTTCGAATGCGATGTGGCCTAGACAATGACTTGCGGGGGCCAGCCGATGTACAAGTCAGTGTTTTTTGTCCTCCCAGTCAAGTCTGGTACCAATTAACCGATCTCGAAGGGATGGAAGGCTTGGTTGGCCTGGGCGACTCACGTCCCAGGATTTGATCCCTGGACCGCTTGCGTGGTAAGCGTGCCACTTGCCACTACACCTTTTCCGCCCACGGTATACAATATATTAATCCAGGTTGGCATGGAATATAACACCTTTACCTATGAAAAACAAAATTTTTGAATGGGTTTCTAGTAAGAAAGTTGAAAAAACAGCACCGATTTTAGAACGTTAACGACAGCATGACGCGCATGTGCGTCAGATCTTCACACAGGTCAGGCTAGGGTGAATAACAATCAGAAAATCCTTGACCATGGCTCTGTACTGCGCGAGAGTAGCGCCGAGAGTGAATGTACATGCGGAGAGCCAGACGGATCGCTCATGGCGAGTGTGAATGGCGGCGCGGGAGAGCGTAACTGATCGGGCGAAAATTTTCGACAAGCGGGTGAGGAATCCTCGACCGGTATTTGCCCTGATACTCGTTTTATTCAATTTATTTGGCATTCTTCATATACCAAATTTTCTGTTACATTATCTTATCTGGAAAATAATGTACCAATAATTAGTAGTGTAATAATTGAAGGGTAGTGACGATTCTGAAAAAGAAAAACGAAAGCATACAGAGTTACACGCACAACGGCCTGTCGTCGTTGTGTTGAGTATAACATACCGCCCAGTGTCTAGATTAGATTTGGCGAAAGTAGGCTAAGTACAGCTGTGGGAGCTTTTAGCATAATTGATCGTTGTTTTTATTATTTTTATTCCAGATAGATGGGGAATTTCGGCAATGGTCTACAATGCAACAAGGCGTGGTGCTCGGATCTTTCTTCTATGGTTATATACTTACACAGGTGCTGACTCAAATTTTCATTTATTTCTTCATTTATTGAACATTGGGTCGTCATCAACAGGGTAAGCTTTAAAATGGGTAAAAGAAAAAGAAAAATTATAAGAAATATATATTCAACCATGCGGTAAACAGAGAAGTGCAGGACGGCCAGGTTGTGAAGTATGCTAGTATGCATCAGGGAATTCACAGGCCATGAAAGGAATACTGATAATTGAATTTGAAAGACAATATTGGTAAATAATTCAAATTTCTGAGCTGTCGTGATTTTTTGCTGATGTCTACTTTATCCTAAATTATCCCGTGGTATACATATATTCTATGCATTTGTAGATACCAGGTGGAATGTTGGCGCATCATTACGGTGGAAAGAACCTGTTTTTAATTGGAATTTTCGGTGAGTTTACTTGTATTTTTTTGGAAAAATGAGGTATTGAATTGATGTTATACAGAAGTCTGTTATGTACTACTAATCAATGAATTTTAAAGTTGCTACTGGAAGGTTAATGGTATAGTATGGCCTGCTTCGATTAATAGTCAATGCTTTTCAGAATCTTTTTAAGGTACTGCCGTTTTCACACTGCTCACGCCACCATTTGCAAAAATGGGATACGGGATCGTGGTTGTTGCCCGATTCGCTGAGGGTTTGTTCGAGGTGAGCGTGGCTTCTTGTTCATGTAATATTATATTGTAATTAATAAAAAAAATCTGGGTAAGCAAAAATGAATGAGTTACAGTTCTCATCTTTACTATATTTTGATATAAGGTTGCTTCTGGGTGTGTTTAAAGTTTTTAATTTGTATTCTATTGAAAATGATTGGTTGAATAGTTTATTTTTGAAACAAACTCACTATTTCTGATTTCTGACAGTTTAAGAAAATTTATTTCTCTATGAAATTGAAAAGTTTTAAGGGCGTAACGTATCCAGCAATGCATGTGATGTGGAGTCATTGGGCACCGATTCTGGAAAAGACGAAGCTGGCGACGTTTGCCTTCTCTGGTTCCTATTTCGGCACCGTAGTATCGATGCCATTGTCTGCAGTGATTGGTCAAACCCTTGGATGGCCATTCATATTCTATTTTTTCGGTTAGTTGCTTTCAGCTGTTGATTAGAGTTTACGGAAGACAACTTTTGCAATCAATAGACAAAAACTCTAATGCGTCTTGTACTTGGCGTAACTTACTAGATGTGTTTTGCTTCTTCATACCTCTATTGTGTCGTAAGCTAAGTTTCGGTTTGATTTTGGAAGATGTCGGTATGTAGCATTCTGTCACGAATGCTGGTTTTGAAGTTGGTTGGATTCAGCTGAAGACTTAAAGGCAGAGGTCATGATGGCTAGATGGCGTTGAGGTTTGAGTGACCTCACTGAATCTGAACGGTATTGGTGGGAGGGCATTAAGAGAGGGTTCCAAGCACACCCTCTAGCATGCTGAGCGGCCTCGTACACCAACAACGCCCAATGACATCATCAAAACCGCACCATTACCCAGCCATCGAGATCCTTACTGCCTCGATTTTCGTATTTGCTGATAACTGCGTCCCAATTTGAAATTGTCTTTAACATGGATTTATCACATACCATCAACAAATTCGATTGAGTCACAAATGGAACTGAAACATACCCTCTCACCTCATTCAATAAACAATTTCCGTAATTACGAGTGAGTCAAAATTCTAAATCAAAAGGACATTTCTGGGGAAATCATTCCATGTTCTGCACCCTAACAAAATCCCATTACTGTGCCGCTACATTAACCCGCTTGCACGATACTCATTTTCCTGTAAATTGCGAGCTTTCTATTACAGAATGCGGCCCTAATAGCCCTTGTAATGACCCCTCGCTTGAGGGGTTTGGAATCAGTCTATTTCAGTTCTTAATAAATAGGCGGTTTAGAAGTAGTCCTTTTCAGTTTTTAATACACTGGCGATATTTTGTATCCCGTAGTTATTACAATTGTTTCTTTTCAGGACTTCTCGGTCTTCTATGGTGCTTAGTTTGGGCAAGAAGAGTTAGTGATTTTCCAGCTACTGATCCTCACATTACTACAGAAGAGCTCACTCTCCTACAACGAGACGCAATCAGTCACACTCACTATGTGAGTTGTGTTCGTTCACGTTCCGCTATTTGAGCAGTAGCCGCGATAATCGTGCAGCTCGAGATTTGCTTCCAGCTTAAGACTTATTCCACCTTTCAAAATCAGAAATTATCTGTTCCCAGTTGGGCCGTTATTGCGAGGAACATTGTGTGGGAATTGGTTCCGTACAAACATACTCAAACAAGGGACCAAATGGTTATGTAGTTGATAAAATTAACCAGTGTCACTCGTTAGGAATATTTGGAGGGAGTTCCGTGATCTTACTAGATGTGTTTTACTTCTTCATACCTCTATTGTGTCATAAGCTAAGTTTCGTTCTGATTTTGGAAGATGTCGGCATGTAGCAGCTTCGTGTTTAAGGACGAAGTGGTGTAGTGACAAGTGGCGCGCTTACCACGCGAGCGGTCCGGGGATCAAATCCTGGGTTGTGAGTCGCCCGGGCCAACCAAGCCTTCCATCCCTCCGGGGTCGGTTAATTGGTATCAGACCTGTCTGGGAGGATAAAAACACTGACTTGAACATCGGCTGGCCCCCCGCAAGTCATTGTATAGGCCTTTATCGCATTCAAATGCTAATGCGAATGTGCAGATGGAAGTAGAATGTGTGCCGCATCCCAAAAAGGGATTGATCAATGACAAATACTTTATCCTTTTATCCTTTATCCGTGATCTACAAGCAAGGTGTTGCTAATGAGCTTTCTATTTCTTGCTATTTATGACAGTTACTTAGGCGGCTGGAACTTAGTCGGGAACAGGGTCAGTCCTATCGTTGTTACTCTTTCAAAATTTTTTACGACCCCCTTCCCCAAGGTGGACTTGATACGACCCCCTTTTCGACCCTCCATCACCATATTCCTCTCTATACATAGTATTGAATTCTGGTGCAACTCAACCCACCAAACTCCGCCCGCTTTTTCCTCCAAAAAATGCCTCGAGCGAGAGAGGTATATACCCACCATGAGACAGCAAAAATTTACCAAAATTCCCTAAATTTCAACCAATTTACCCCACCTCTACCTATAATCCCACTTGCTCAGTTTTCAGGGAGGGGGTATATACGCCCTATAAACTAGTAGCGACCACCCCCTCCCCCAGTTGTTACTGGTAACAACGTAGAGTTGACCCTGGTCGGGAATCGTAGCCACACTTTGCTTCCTACAAATTCATCCAGCCAGACGTTGAGCAGAATGACAGCAGTCCTGACTCGGTACCTACTACGCTGTCTAGCATTAAATCCTGACCACTAGTATGACTAGAAATGTAAGCAATGTTATCGTCTAGTTCAAAGAAGACTTTTAGCGTGCAGAACTAAGGTATCCGTTTTCCGAATTCAACGAATTTTTTGCTATTTTGTCGATCGGTTTCAAATGTTCGATGGACGTACTTTCGGGACGAATGAGCAATTTTCATGAACATTCGTAACTATCTCTTATGACGACAATGTTCATGGTCCCATCATAAGCTCAGTAGAGCTATTTACCTTTCCACTTGTTATCAAATGGGCCACTAATTTAATTTTACTTGGAAATAATCACGCCAACAGCCGAAATACACTTTTTCTAGATGCTCTATGGAACTTTGTGAGAAACTTCCAGTAGCGCTCCGGAAAAAAAAGTAGTATTTTCTCACGAGAATGAACTATTTGAAGGTATTTGGTCGAATACGCAAGTAGCGCAGCTGTATCCCCGATCTATGAGATGCGCTGGTTGCGGTGGCGCTACTGCAGCCGGCGCCTTCAAGATGTTACACTAACATCAACGAGGCGCAACTGCTCGTCGTCCTTTCCTCCCTCGCTTACGTTGAGGAAACCTGTGTGAATGTGTATGAACACGAAATGCCTTCGTGTGAATGGCTTACTATCACATGGCATCAACATCATAGGAATGTGGTCACGAACTTAAACACAGTGGATAGGAAGATCTGAAAACACATGTCAAAATAGCTATTTTTAAAGATTTCGGGATACTTTTCGTCCATTAAAGGTTTACAGGCAAATATCAGGCGTCCCTTAATTTTGTTGTTTCACACAAAAAATCGCACTCCAAAAATGAAACGGGTTTCTTCGACCCATGAAGAATCCTCTAGATCCCTTGAAAATTTCGTAGGGTGAACTAGATTTTCCTATTCTTACTAATGGTCAGTCTCAAAACTTTCCTGGGATTCTGAGTTTAAGCCTAATACCGACTATCTTCTACACTTGAGTCTCTGGTTCAGAGAAACTCCTGAAAAAGGCACTTATTGTTGGATTGTCTGTAAATGTGCCATGATCTTAAGAACCCCTCCCGATTTTCTCCCACAACACCACCCTGGTTTTCCTGGGATCCAACTGAGATAGGTAGAGAGTGTGCAGTGTAAAATGGTGACGTTTACTTTAACCGGTCGAGGTCCAGTCATATTTCCAGCCCCGCCAGGAGCAAAAAAAACCTTAATATTCTATCTGTTGTGAGTTCGTTGGTACCGAACTCCGTAAGATCGATAAAAACATTCGAAAATATGAGCTGTACCGCATTTCGTTATGTGTAGACCATATAGCATTCAAATGAGACTAGGTATTAATTAAATCTCAGTAGAGCACATGGCACATCCTCAAAAAGCATTAATTTACGCCAAATGCTGTATCCTTTGTACCCGTTAACCAAGGTATGAGGACACTCACTGTAGAACTCCTGTGTTTCTGGAGTCTAAAGGCACCTTTCAAAACGAATCAACAAAAAATATCTAAATCCAAATTTGAAAACCTCTTGACATTTTAAAAGAGTGCTCAGTTGCGTAATCAGAAAGCTACATATGTGGAACGACATCTTCGCAGTTGCGTCCCCCATCCGTATCGTAAAAAGAATTCCGATCCTATCCATCATTCTCTGTATTTGTGAAGCCAAGAGTTTCCTGTGCGAAAAGTTCGCAGTACAGCTTCCATTGCACAACAGGCGTTTGGTCTGTTCAAGCACAGGAATTTGCGATTTTTGACGTCATAAGTGTCGGGTGACTCTTGAAAACCAAGGATTTTCATGCCTTGGTCTAGTCCCTTTCGAATGTTTATGATTAATTCTATAGGCATGGCTACAAATTAGGTTTACTGCTTCAATTTTGCCTTCACTTCACTTAATAGAATGAAAGGGGCATGTAAAGTGATGGGGGACTTCTTGGATGAAATGAGTGCCAGTTACTGCTAACAGTTAGGATTAGTATGATCCACATTGATGAAAGCTTGAGCCTGATCTCAACTAAGTGGGAACGAAAAAAAATGACTATCCTCAGTAGTGTGGGTAGCCATAAGTAACATGAGCTAACGAACGGTCAAGGCAACATGTCCAAGTTTCTGGACCTCCTAATGCTCCAGATCAGCGAAGAGAAAAGAGGATAGGCAGCCTTATTGGCAATGTTCTTATTAGAAAATATTGAATGAAAATTCTTTGCGTCGATCGATATTTCCAATCCACTTCCAAATTGTTGCAGATTGTACCATGGGCAGAAATGCTGAAGAGCATGCCAGTTTGGGCAGTGATGATTGCGCATTTCTGTCAAAATTGGGGCTTCTACACGATGCTCACACATTTGCCGAGAGTGCTCAAAGAGCTGGCGAACTATGAATTGGAAAAGGTTCGTTTTTTTTCTGCTTTCTTCCAAAACTCTCCACAGTGTGCCCTGAACTCGGCAGAACTTCTCTCACTCCTCGGACAAAATTTGATTTTTAATTGGATGTAGTTTTACTTTTTTTTGCTGCTGAACTCTACTGTGTATGCAAAAGCTAAAAATATTTGATTGTTGGCTAGTAAATTATTTTTGACCCTTTGTGGAAGAAAACAGAATGTTAGTAGTGGTTTCGGGAGTGGCCCCTTCTTAAAAATGGTCCGTTGAATGCTGAACCTAATGCTTTTGAGGTTGAGACGGGGCTTTCAAATGTGTTCAAAGGTGCAGCTCCTAAACGTGTCACTGATAGGAGTAGGTATCGACTGCATACTGAATCCCCTGCATGAATTGCTGCCGTCGCCGCCGACACAGAAATCGCAAAAGCTCGCTCCACAATGAGGACAGAGCCGAGGCGGCTCTTGTTATTTGCAAGCCTCTTCTGCTGCCTCATTCTCTCACCTCGAACCACATCCCTCATTCATTCAGCACTCTCTTGAGCGCTCTGTACACGGACGGAGAGAGGGATAGCGTTGGTGGCTTGCAGGCGCTCATTGAAGCCTGTCGACATTGGCGACAGTTTCCTAGAGATACTAGAGATAAGCGCACACGGGCACCTGTCGAACTCTTCACAGAACACCCCCACTGAATCAACAGAAACGCTTGAAGATCCATTATGATGAGTTTTGGGCCTAAATTATTCAAAAACTCAAAAATAAGATCTCCAGAAAATCAAGAAACTGATAACCATTGTTGCTTTCTGTTATACCGAATTAAGAAGGTGGAGGTGGTGTGGTGAAAAGGCTAAGTCCCACACGCACGGTCTGGTGGTCAAATCTCGGATTGAATATAACCCAAACCAGCTGAGCTTTCCATCTCATCTCGGCCAATTTGTAACTGACTTGTGTGGAAGAGTAGAAATACTGACTTGTGTACGGTTGGCTCTCGCAAGTTATTGTATGGACAAGATCGCACTAAAATGCCACATAAATCCTAAATATAAGTAAGATGCGTGGCACATCCCAAAATGGGAATGTTTGCTGAAAGCTTTATCCTTTTAAGCTTTTATGCTTGAAACATTGTTTATGCAGCCAAATGTGTAGACGTAACTCTCCACGCTCTTGCCTTCCCAGGATGGATTGCTGCTCAAGCTAAAAGGTTCCATCCCTCCAGCCTCACTTACTCCAATCCACACATCATCCTACGTGTTTTTGAGAAACAGTAGCCCTCAGAAAGAATTGCAATTTGTCCTACGAGAAAGACTGTGGTGTGAAAGTGGCAAAACGCGCTGCTTTTTGACACAAGTTTTTGATACCGGATCGAATCTTGCCTAAGTCAATCAAACTATTCGTTTCTACGCGATCGACTAATATTATATCACTGGTTCTTCCAGGAGTATAAAAGTTCCATTTGCTACATCTGGTGACTCTTTAATTCATTTTCCGACCCGATGCATCCAAAGTCTTTAAAAGTTTAAAGAAGTCGAAAGCGTGGCACAATGCTGAAAGAAGGTCGATCAATGATAAGTGTTTTTTTATTTTTTCGAAGATCAATGATTGAACAATGACAATTACCTTACAAGAATGCTGGGTTGTGAACAAAACTTTCACCCCAGGCGGGACTAGAACCCGCAACTCTCGCTTTCCGGGCAAGTGCGCTACCAGTTACGCTACCAGGGCACCATTTCATTCCAAATCAGCTCTTCAATACTTACCATAGCTTGTCAGCACTCACACGTATAATGTGTTGAGCCGATTAGCCAATATCAGCAATGACCGCGAGGCTGAACGCTTTAGCAATAATTTTTGACATTCGCAAGGCGAACTGCGGCCAAAAACAGCAGTACAAACAAAAACAATTACCCTAATTTTCCTTCGAAATTGCTGATGTTAAGTTAATTTTTGGTAACTGCGTCTCACTTTTCAAATGTGACGATATTCCAGTGGAGTTCGAGAAGTTAGAGTGTTCAGAGTTCGTGTTTTTTCTGCGAGTTATCACGCTGACTGAAGCACCTGCTGGGAGCACACTTCACACTATGATGCACATTGACAACATATGAAATTCAAATTTCTCTCAATTCTGTAATGCCTCTATTGAAACCATTTGTTGATAATTGTAGAAACACAATGATAATTGCCTATGTATTTTTTGTGAAACATTCCATTTAAGGCTGGTTTCGTATCCGGACTACCGTATTTGATGATGGGATGCACGTTGGTATGGGGAGGACAACTGGCAGATTACCTCCGAAAGGAGCGCAACATTGACACTTTAACAGTCCGACGGCGCTTCTGCGTTGCAGGTCAGATGTCTGTTTTGTTCCGACAACTATGCAGTACGTGACAGCAAAGAACTCTCTAAGGATGCTCGATTCTGTAGCTGTGAAAATTACCTCATAGGCAAGGGTGTGGTTTGCTAGGCAGAAAGTGACTTTTCCAGCGCAAAACATTTTTCGCTGCGGAAACCTCGAGTCCCTTACTATTTGATGGTGGCCCCGGGTTCCCGCAGCGGAAAATTTTCGCGCTGCGAAAAGCGGTGAAGTAGCTTTCTGTCCTTCTGAATCACACCCAAGAGGAAACCCTCGGCTCACATTTCCTTGCATCTTCCTGAAAAAGAATAAGGGGCCTTTCAACTTTGTGGAACTTTGTTGTAGGCTCTGAATTTTCAACTAATCAAGCTGTGAGAATAAACAACTTTGACACTGACACTCAACTTTGACAAATTGACATTTATTTATTTATTGATTTCTCACTCAAAGAGCATCATCGGCCCAATTTCCGAAAAATCACAAACAGGATACGCAAACACAGAACAATAAGCATAAATTGTCACAACCACACCTAAACCAATAGTTCAAAAACATTGTGAAAATTGTCAAAATTTAGAAACAGAAGAGGTAATAACAGAGCAGTCTGCGTTGAATTTTTGTGAGACCCTTACAGGAGTAAGACATTATCAACTGATTATAAGTGAAAGGTTGGAAAGTGAAAAGTAATAAGTGACTGCTGATATGCTGGGGCGTTACTTTTATTCCTTAATTGCTTGTTAGGTTGGTTGCTCAACAACTTCGCCAGGAGTGTGATCTGAGGTTTTCTTCTAGGTTTTCTCAGAAAATGGATGGACGCTCTTACTTCAGCCTTTCAGTTCGAGGAGCTATGTGAATTGACCAATATTCAACCTTTCACAAATAAAACTAGAACGGTTGAGAGGACTCCTTCACAGAGCGTAAACCTAGTTTTTCTAGGTTTCGCTGGTCAGGCTATATTTCTCGCACTGGCGTCTGTGACGTCATCGCCACCCTTTCTTGTCGCATACCTCTCAATATCAATTGGAATGGGAGGTATTTGTTGGGCGGGATTTTCCGTGAATCATTTGGATCTAGCCCCGCAGGTGACAGCTTTTTGAGTGATGCATTAAATTTGACATCGATCAATATGTATACTTCGCAGTTTGCCGGTCATCTGATGGGAATTTCGAACACTTTGGCTACATTGCCAGGAATGCTCTGTCCACTGATCGTGGGATATATTGTTACAACTGGAGTACGTCTGTCTTTTAGCTCTTTTTTTGGGACCACTTGAAAATACTCTATCGATTTGCAGAGCGCCACAGAATGGAACATCATCTTCTACTCTACAGCAGCTATCTATGCTTTTGGAGCGGCATTCTTCTGGAAATTCGCTTCCGGCGATCTACAGCCATGGGCCGGCGAGCAAGTGCCATTCATCGGCGAATTACACTGAATCTCATGATCTCTTTTATTATAATACATCTGTGTCAGTGACAAATTCGAATATGAAACATATCTTGCGCAAGCGTTTGAACAAGACAAAAAGGAACGGTTGTACGTACGAAGGTAAAAGAGGATGATTGAGTGGTGAGGGGAGAACTAGCCGTGGGAGGTGGGCGCGCTGCAGCCGTATCGCGCGCTGGGCGGGGCGGACGGCGGTCGCGATCGGACGAGTTGTCCCAGAAAGGGAAGGTACCGCGGCCGCCGCACCGCTCTGGCCATACACGACTATCCAAAGCACTGAAAGGCGGGCAGGAAATTATGGATTAGATGCGCGGAATGAAACGATACAGCGCGATGCGACCGCGAGTGCGCCCTACTGCGTGAGTTGGCGCAGTGAAGCTGGGTGTTGCCGCACTGCTCCCACTCACGTCGCTCCCACAGCGATTGGAACTGATGATGAGCGACAGTGGTTCAGACTGAGGCGAGTTCGTCTTGAGCACCGGTGGTGATGAGGTGGGCGAATGCCTTGTAGTCGACTTCACCGTTCTCAATCGGTGGCTTACCCTGAACAATGGGTTATTTGGAAATGTTCTCAACAACAAGAATCTGAAACAATATGGATTGTTGGCAAATGGCGAATAGAAGTGACTAGTGCTCGCCTTGTACATAGCTTTGATTTCTTCTTCATCGAGCGGTTCGCCTCGCTTGTTTTGAAGAATCTTTAACAACTCCTCCTCGCTCAACTTTCCAGTCTCCTTCTTGTCAAACATGGCAAAGGCACCGACGATCGTCGCCTCGGGATCAGTTCCTAAAGCCACTCAATCTTACGAGTGCAGCTTTCTAAAGTCAACAGTGGCAAAGGAGAAGCTCTCGCCTGTCAATCGCTCTCCGAACAACGTCAGAAAGACAGTAAAGTTGATCGGTCCAGGCGCCTCTTTGATCATGTCCTCGATCTGCTTGTCAGAGGCGATTTGTCCCATAGTCGCGTAGAGATCCTTGAGGTCATTCTGAACTCCACTTATTTATCATGCTAAGCTTCTTCGCATGAGCTCAAAAAGTCAAATTGTGGTCCAGTCACAATGCGGACCTTGTCGATTATACCGTCCTTGTTCTGATCCATGATACCGAAGGCCTCCTTGAATTCATTGATGGTCTTCTGATCGAATTGAGCGGCCTCAGATCCGGATCTCTTCTTGCTGGACTTCTTCTTGGCGGCCTTCGACTGTAAAGCAACACCTTGAAGCTTCATTCTAAAGTCACTACAGCATGCTCAATACTAACTATTAGTCCCATGTTAAAACTATTTGACTACCAGTCGACGAAGAAAATGTGTTCGAAATAAAATTCCGAAAAACTTCAAGCATTAAGCAGTAATGGGACAGTTAGCAAGTAGTTTTCGGTACGCAGTACTGCATCACATATCGATTGACATGGTTTCGAGTTAATAGAACTCACCATTCTGTGTGACTGTCAGTAAGTGAGAGTGAGAGGCTGGCGGCGGCTCGAAGGATCCCAGTTACACCACGGGGAGGGCTCCGAGGCTATTTTAGCTGTGATTCTCAACAACTTTACAACATAGACTCCGCCCTCCCGTGACGGACGCCTACGGTCGACCCACCTCGCGCGACATCGTATCCCCTGATTCGACCAGCCACTGCCATTCGGAATACACTGCTCACCGCACTCGGCCGCTGAGCTCTTCCAACATATCACTCGATCAGTCCAAATCGCTACTGCAGTAACTGTCATCAAAGCTGGCTTTTTTTTCACATTTTGTTGACTCTGTGTTGTAATAGCGACCTTTGCCTGCCCTTCCAGCTGAACTTCCCGGATTCCCTCGGGCATTTTTTGGTCTCAAGAGCACCTACGTGCGCTGTATCTTATGACCTTTTGTCATGCTGCTTCTTTCTTTTTTACTGGGGATTGAGGATTACAATTCAAAAAAGTTCAATAGACTCTAATCAGTTCCACTGACGAGAAGCAGGAGCAACAAAGACCAAATGGATCAAAAGGCGCTTTGGGGGATCAGCGAGGGAACTGAATTCAGTTATCCAGAAGCTTTCAAACACTAAGAACTGGGAGCAAATCCATAAACTTATTGTTATTGTAAAGCTCGTAATGAAGAGGATCTGTTTACTTGGGTGATGTGTGGGCTCTATGTTGTTGTATTGAAACAGTGATGGAATCCACTTCTCTCTGCTTTGTTCAGTTTAGAACTAACGCATTGATGGGTTCGATCTCTGACCAAATTCAGCATGATCTCCTTAAACCTCAAGGTGCCTTCCTCAAGATGCCATCTACCCCTGCGCTTTTCTAGACGACTGGTTTCATACATTGCTAGCGCCTTCACTCTGCCTCATTCTTATCAAATTTCAGAAGGTAAGGGAGGTATTCTCCTCTGTCCTTCCTTCCTTTTTGACTCCTGAATCTTTGTTGTACGCAGAGCCATGGCGATCGTAAGAATCAGTAGTACCTCTAGGACCCATCGGGACCATGCCTGTTTCAGAATTTGTCTTTCAACACATCGATAAGTACTCGAGAACCCGCGAACTAAGGCTATCTGCTACGAAATAATTTTTGAAAAAGTTTGTGGCGTAAAGATTAAATGGAACCAGTTATATCTAGCAGCTGGTCCATCACTTTATTTCGCGCCTAAGTCACCGGCCCAGGGATAAAGGCTGAGCCCTGAAGGGATTACATGATTCCTCTTAAGACTCTGTATTCCCCTATTAAACAGCAAAGTATTCCCCTAACCTAATAAGAGCCCTGGTTGGGCCTGGGAAAGCTCTTCACAATACTTCTCCACGGAGTTTCTCTGACAGCTGAACTCTTACCATGAACTACTCTAAACCTACTGAACCATAGGTCACTAGCAGATAGGGTAAGGTTACTTTCGCTAATGAATGTGAAGATACCTTTTCTCAAACGGTTCAACCTTAAAAAGGTCCATTGTACCTGAACCAATTAACTGGTTGCGCTCGCTCTGTTGTTTGCAGTCATTTCACTATAGTTATCACAAGAAGTAGCCTGGTACCACTAGTGCAAACAGCACCTTAACTGGAAAGTTAAAACTCGTTAGTGATTCGTTTCTTAGAACCGTTGTCAGCTACTCCCCGTTAACCTAAACGCCTCTGAAAAGCTGAAATGGAGAAAAGTTTCAAGCAGTTCCGCTTTCAACGGGAATTCTGATGGAGCTCAAAGTTACCTTTAAGTTTCTTCTTAGCCGAACTAACGGCTAATCATGCTATTTGTTTGCTAGAGCAAAGACGAGCCAAAGCGGCGTTTGTAGTTGTCATTTCTCAAGGAAGTTTTTCCGGTACATGTACTCAGTGAGAAATATCACAATGTGTGGCCCTTTTTTTAGGTGTATAAAAACTGGAGACCAAGCCGAGTTCGTTCAGCTGATTAGTCTGCACACGTTCTTCAACTCAAATCCCTCCTGCTTCCGTTACTGCCGTCATTTCCACCCGCCACGATTCGTATGTTTGCGGATTCCGGTTATCTCAGCGGGGGCAAAAATTGGAGGGTGTTACAGCGTACGCTCGCTCGCTCGCTCGGCCACCCTCATCGTAGAGCTCAAGCTCTTTAGCCCTCGTTCAGTTCGGCTGCACACATTCAGATCAACGACATTGATTTCCTCACTAATCTCTTTACTTCATGGCTGGAGGCGTTCTCAAGTTCAGCCTGCCGTTCGTCATTCGTGAGCATTCACTGGTCTCATACACGTTCATCCAGCTTATGTCTCACATTAGCCACGTATCGCTCCATCTCTAAACATTCCTTTCAGTACGAATTACTTCTTTTCAGGTATCTCACTTGGTAGCAAACCACACTATCCATAATGGTGAGTACTTCCCAACCACTTCTCTGACCGTACTTTGTAGTTTACTCATATGAGACATGTTTCAGTCGAAGGCCGCCAAGAAGAAGTCCAGCAAGAAGAGATCCGGATCTGAGGCCGCTCAATTCGATCAGAAGACCATCAATGAATTCAAGGAGGCCTTCGGTATCATGGATCAGAACAAGGACGGTATTATCGACAAGGTGAGCGTTTTAACGAAACATGACTGTTACCCTCCCAAATTTTGAGCGAAACTATGCGCTAAATAAATCAAAGAATTTAGAGTGACCTAAAGGATCTCTACGCCGTTATGGGACAAATCGCCTCTGAAAAGCAGATTGAAGACATGATCAAGGAGGCCCCCGGACCGATCAACTTCACTGTCTTCCTCACTTTGTTTGGAGAGCGGCTAACAGGTACACTTCTGCTATTTTCCACGTCTATTATTAATCTGAATGAGTGGTTGAACCTGAAAGAGTGATTCATTTTAGGAACTGACCCTGAGGCAACGATCGTCGGGGCCTTTAACATGTTCGACAAGAAGGACTGTGGGAAGATAAAGGAGGAGGAATTGTTAAAAATCCTTCAAAACAAGCGAGGAGAGCCACTAGATGATGATGAAATCAAGGCCATGTACAAGGTGACTTTCATAGAATCCTTCTATCTTTTTGACTCAGTTCATTAGTTTCCAATTTTTTAGTTATAAAATCAAATTTTAACATCATATCGTTCAGGGTAAGCCACCAATCGAGAACGGTGAAGTCGACTACAAGGCATTCGCACATCTCATCACTACCGGAGCTCAAGACGAACTCACTGCCGCATAAACGTTCCTTCAATCATTTTTTTCTTTGTCGATCGATAAAAAAATGCTGAAATCACTGAAAGCCTCTTTCCTAACAATCAAACATCGATCGCGATAGCAGACGATTCGCATTACAATCAACTCGCCATGTTGCATAATAAAGTTGATTCCGTTTCTGAAGTGCTAAATGTGTATAGTGAGAGGTGTTTGAAAAATAAAAATCGATACAGATCTATTGTACATGAAATGTTTAGGACTTGTATTATCACACTTCTACATTGCTCCTAGCACTAGCAGACATTAATTAAGCAGTACAGAAAGAAATGAACCAAAACTGAGTTTGCAGTGATGGTGCTTTCTTAAGTCCTGTCAGGAGTTCAACTGAAGACTGAAGCCTAATTCAGCTGCTGATCGTCCTAGAAACCGTCTATGGAGCAGGCAAAGTCGTCCATATTCGACCTTCGAGTTTAGTAGAGATATGCTTCGAGCCTAAGATTGAACTTTTATCAGGCTTACATTTGGCTTCTTCGCCTTCGATAGAGCCTGAAATGAACTAGAGCAATAACTCATTTCTTCAGTAACACAGGTTAGTTTTGCCCAAGCGTTCAGCCGTCTTTAGCTTAGAGTTTTATATATGACCTTAAAACTCTTCAGTTCAAGTTTTAGGGCTGCCATCAGATGTTCAAGTTGATGAAGATGAATGTGTTTTAAATGGAAACCTAATGAGTTGGTCGGTCGATTTTCTGCGTGGACATCACCCTTAAGCTCAAATAGGTGGTGACACAATTCACCCAGTCACTAGCAATGTTTGCTTACGGTTGAGCGGATAAACTATTCAAGTGCGTCTAGATTTGTACTTTCTGAGACGCAATCGATGCGAAAGAAGATCTCAAAAGCACGTAACGTTGCTGGCTGCTGCAAGCTTTTTTGCTTTCCAACTGAAAAATTCTCATTAGGAACCTTGCAATGGCGCCTAGAGGCAGAGATCCCGAAAATTTGATGTTCATCAAGTGTGAAAGTAGAGAGCCGAAGTAGTGCGACCATGAGGAAGAAACCAGAAATATTGGTCAACGACCTGCCAAATGGAACACTCATTTTGTTGGCCGATTTTGGACGATTTTAGGAATACTTGCATGGTTGTTGCAGCTTGGGTCAGGATACTAGGGTAGATCCCCTTTACCGTATTCCGTCTTCCTATGGGGAACATGAAAATAAACTCGAACAAGGCAGTTCGAGCCGGTTAATTCCGTTTGGATTTGGCCAGTGTTGATCAGCCGATCTCATTTTCTAATTCAAATTGAAGCCATCCTTTATAATGGACCGATCGAGCCTTTCGATACCTAGTACCGTAGAATAACAACGCAATGACTCGGCAAGATAAGATAACCTGAGTGCGCCTGGTCAATAGGTCACGATATCACCACAACCAACGTATTTCCGTGAAGTCATTCCGATTTCCGGCTCCTAATTCGTCGGAAGAATTCTCCATTAGGGCTCCCTCGTGTAGTTTAACGAATTTTCTCGTAATCTGGTGTTCAGGCTCAATTTCTTTGTACACTCCTCTCGATGTGGTCGATCTACAGCTGCTGCGCGGGTGTGTATG